GCTTCCTCAGGGTCCCAGGACTCTCCTCGGGCCACATGCAGAGGGAAGGACAAACGACCAGGCAGAGGCAGGACCCAGGGGACCCCAGGCCCATCTAGAACTTGGGGGCCCCCTTCTCCATCCCTTCAAATCTGTCTCAATGAGTTCATGCATACCAAATATCAATGCATGTTCAGCTACTGCTATTACTATGATATTCTTATTATTTAATCTCAGCCCCTGCTATTAAATAAAGTGGCCTTAATCTATCCTTAAGCAAATGATGAGTCTCTTCTCTTTGGAGAGGATTTTAAGGAAGGCATTTCTAGAATGTTCCTCAGTCACTTACTCCTGGGAACCTCTGGCCAAGGCAAATCCCACCTCCCGCTCCTACCCAGCCCACTGCTGTTTCTGCCCAGTGGAGAGAGAAGCTATGAAATGGCTGGTGACTGATTTCAGCCTCTCAGGGGTTTAAAGAGCATCGTTTCCACCTGTCCTGCTGCCACAGGCACCCTGCTGCGATTCCCCCTAGACCTCTCTCTTCTCGGCTCTTCTCCCAGCCCCAGGTGCCCTCTTCCTTTGTGGAGCCCATAGCAGCACACTTCTGTGGGTGTCCCTGACCGCCCCCTACAGGGGCCTCTCCACGCCACCTGAACCCTGTGCTCTGCCCCTTGCGAATCACATGTCAAGTGAACTAACTGGGAGTGCCCCTGCCCGACCAGGCGGTTTGCTGGTCATTGGGCCCACACCTTCCCAAGCGCCACTGTGTCCCTGAGACCTCTCCACCCACACACAGCTTTGCAAACGTGCAGTCTTTGGCCAAGGCCCAGCAGTGAAGGCAAAGGTGAGAGTGTGAAAGCTGGGCTGGGAGGCAGAGAGGGGCTGGTGCCTGGCCCACTTTCCTTTGCATGGGTGTTGACCCATGGGGAGACAGGAAGAGTAGGGTGCAGGAAGGCCATGCTGGACTGGGTCACCCCACAGGACTTGCCCTGGGACTGTCTCCTGGCCTCTTCACCAGCAGCTGCTCACCCTGCTGTCACCCACATTCTGCCTGAAGGAGGCGTGGGCAGGACTCTTCTTCAATTGCTGTGTCCGCCCCCCCCCCTCCCTCCCCTTACACCCTCATCTAGGAAATCCTAGAGTTCTGGCTCCCAGCTGCCACCCCTTCTCCCACCCCCACCCTGGACAACCCACACAGCACCTTAGTGATCGCACATCCACCTGGGGTCCTATGATCCAGTAAGATTGGGCTGGAGTCTCGTGTCTATAATAGAACATTTCTAGAAACATTGTTCTATTTCACTCCTCAACTCTACCAGGTCTCCCCTCCATCCACTGAAACCACACTCTGAGCTGAGCCTCGACACCTAAAGCATTCCACATGGAAAATCTGAAAAGCCCACCCTCCCATTCCAATCACACTCTACTATTACGGTGAGAGGAATGGGGTGGGGGGCAAGGAGGCAGTGTTAGCATTTTACTTAAGGGACAATGGAATCTCTGGTCTGTGGTTTTGTTTGTTTATTTGTTTGTTTGATCCATCGACCATCTGGCTCTGCTTCCTTCTCTGAGGACCCTGAAGCCTGTGGTTCCACTGACAGCTTCCACTTATGGGGGGTTTCGCCTGCCCTGGAGAAACCTCACCAGGCAATCTCCTCACTCCTGCACAGCCCTGCTGAGCCCTGAGGGAGAAAGTCCCACATCCTGTGAGCTTCCAGTCCTGCCTGGGAACCATTAGGGACTCCTACCTGAGTTGTTGCCCTCCCACATTCCCCTCAGGTGTAAGCACTCTGGCACGCTTCTCCCCACACTGCCTTCTCCCTGTCAGAGAAAACCAACACCACTTATGCGACCATCCTCATCTTCCCATCTCAGATCCTACAGAGTTAGCCACAAAAGCGCCATGACGCGCGTCCTCCCTCCCCAATCAGTCCCCCTGATTCCAAGGACAGCCCCCTTCCTTTGCTCCCTGCCCCCACCTGCTGCTCCTCCACCTCCTCCATCAACCAACCCCCCTCTCTCTCTACAGGTGACAGAGGAGGGGGCGAGACGAGGGTGGATATGAACAATGTCTTAGAGCTAGAATCAATGGGACTTGTTCATGAATTGGATGTTTAGATGAGGATGTGGGAAAGTCAAGGGTGTCTTCTTCACCCAAAATCCCCCAGGCAGCTTGAATTCAACATGCCCAAATTGAGCGCATCCTGTAAGCTTACTTAACGATGAAATAAATGAGGTCCAGAGGTCAGAAGGGTGTCCGCAGTCACATAAGCCATTAAGTAGGAGAGTCCAAATTCTGCTCAACGGCTGCCTCCCCTCCAAGCCCATGCTCTCAACTACCACATCACAGTTAGCTAGTATTCAAGACACACCTGGCAGATGTGGTCACGGCAGGGTGATTCTCCAAATTCAGAGGCACAAGCTCGGGGCCTGCTTTGTGGGCGTGTGACCTATGTAGTCACGCAGGGCCCCGTGCTTGGCTTAATGCTCTGCTGCTGCTGTCTTAACATTCTTAATAATTTCTGAAGCAGGAGCTCTGTGTTTTCATTTTACCCTGAATCCTACAAATCAGGTCACCTAGAAATCAGGTGATTCTACAAATTAGACTAGCCCAAGAGGCATGTTTTAATGCTTATTGCCAGGCCCTTCCTGAGGTTCTAGCTCTGGAATAAGTTTTGTGATCCCCCAAGTGTAACAAGCATTCCCAGTTAACTCATTGTGGACTCCTGGGGACCCCCTCTTAAGCAAAATCCTCTTGGAGGCCCTGTAAAGTCAGCTGCAGTTCCCTGTTCTACCACACGGTGACAGTATAACCCCAGTGTCTCTCAACTGCCAGGTTTTTAAATTTGAACAAGGAGGCTGGTTCTGGAAGGTGAGCAATAGCTTGACATCTCCAGGTTCCTGCCCAGCCAACCATCTTCATACACGGGCGCAGTTGTGCCTCCCTCCGCAAAGGTCTCTAGGTCATTTATACATCAGTGTGGTTCTGGTAGCTACGGCCGCCGTGGTGGTGCTGCTCACCCCCACCCACAGCCCACCCCACCCCTGAATCCACCCCTTCAGAGGGCTGAGAGCACAAACAAGGCAAGTGCCATGGAACTGGGCAGAAGACTGTGGCATCCTCAGGAGCATTTCACAAAAATGTTCCGGAAATGACCCAAGCAAGCTGGCAACCATGGGGCATGAGGGCTGGCACGAGGGCTGACCCCAGCCATAATCCCATGATATCCCTCCCGTTTCATACAGTTCTATAGTTTTCTCTTTTTTTAAATATATTTTATTGATTTTTTACAGAGAGGAAGGGAGAGCGATAGAGAGTTAGAAACATCGATCAGCTGCCTCCTGCACACCTCCTACTGGGGATGTGGCCGCAACCAAGGTACATGCCCTTGACCGGCATCGAACCTGGGACCCTTCAGTCTGCAGGCCGACACTCTATCCATTGAACCAAACCGGTTAGGGCAGTTCTATAGTTTTCAAAGCACGTTCACATCTGCCATCTCACGTTGATTCCACCCTGTTATTTGAGGTGGAAATGGTCCCCATTAGAGAGATGAAGAAAACTGAGGCTCAGAGAAGGCAAGTGACATAGCTCTGGAGCAGTGGCATAATAAGCAATGTGACAGCATTCAAACCCAGGCCTCCTGACGCCAGCATTTTTCTTGCCTCATTCCTGGCTATGCATTAGAATCACCCAGGAAACCTTTAAAAAATAAAACACCTGCCTGGGCTTCACTTCAGACCAATCAGATCAAAATCTTTGATGTGAGGCACCCTCAGTCATTCAAACATTAGCCGAGGTTAAGCGCTGCACTTCCCCAGAGAGCCAACAGGGGGTGCCCAACCCCAAGCCAGGAGCTGCTGACTGTAGCTGAGGGGGACAGGAGAGGGGTGGCCAGCACCCAGCAGTGGATAAAAGAAAACCAGACCCCAAGATCCAACCAGGGGCCCAGAGCACTGCAGGCCCCCCAGTTATCCCACAGCGGGCGGTATAACTCCAGGCTGAGCAGCATGCACACTCTGGAGTCAGGGACTTCCAGGTCTGGGGCTGGAGTTTGGACACCGCTAGGGACCTTTTCCTCACCTATAAAGTGGAGCTAGTGATAGCACCTCATTTGTGGATTCATGAAGATTAATTGAATGAATGTACTTCCCAGGTGGCCAGCCACTAGCTAAGAGACCAAAGGTGGGAGGGGATGTGTCGCTTTGGGGGACCTGGTTTTCTTCTCATCTCACCCAGGTAAGGACCAGGTGTCCTCTGCCTCTCTGGAGCTGCCCGTCACCTCCTGTGGCAGGAAGGACTCAGACCCTGACCCAGAAGAGGGGGTCACATGGAAGTGGGGCTCTGCACCACGTGCTGGGGGAGGGAGGAGGGCTGGGCAGTGTCTGCCTTCCCCCATGGCCCAGTGCAGTCAGCAGGCCCCTGTAGTTACCCAGGGGTTGAGCCCAACAGAACAAAGTGTGTAGAGCTCGTGCATGGAATTCTGCTTCAGAAAGGGGGCGCCTCGGTCTTCTGGGCTCTTTAATATTTGATGTTCTGGGTCCAGTGACGTGGGCCCCTCGGGGAGCCACCCCTGGATTCGGAGGCAGCGCATCTGTGAAAGCACTGGCCCACAGCAGCCCACTCCGTCCCTGGGGGCTGAACAGACATTTCCCCTCGCAAAAGGGAGCTCTCATGTGAGGGGCCAGAGGCCCCCAGTTCCAGTGTTTCTCCCTTTGGAGTATCATCTGAATGTGCGTGAGGAAGACAGACGCTTGCTCCACCTCTCCTCCCCCAGTGCCCACCCCAGGGGATGTGGGGGGCCAGGGACTCAGCTGGGGGTCCAGGCAGACACTGGGTCCTGGGGTTACAAGTGAGGGCTCCACACCTTGAATTCCCACAGGCCGAGACCATTGGAGGGAGATCTGCCTTCCTCCTGCCCCATCCTTCTCCTTCCAGTCTCATGAGAAACCAAGGCTGGGCCTTTCCCACTTCCCCAGATGTCGGAGGGTCCCCAAAGACTCAGGCAAAAGACACACAATTTATTTTTCCTTTCTTTATTCTTAAGTAAAAGAGACTCGGGGGTTCAAAAATAAAAATTTCTTCTTCCCCCTCCCAAACCTGGACCCCAGCTCTGCTCTGCAGGCACCCTTCCTCCCAGCAGGGACTGGAGAAGGGGTACAGCCTCTCCTACTGGGAGGGGCACGGCGGCGGGTGTGCCAGGCTGTGCTGGTCTCTTTCCCAGTATAAATACATGTGTTAACTCCTGGGAAGCCTTCCCCCACCCACCACCCAAGCATTCTCCTCTCTGCCTGTGTTTGGAGAGGGGGCGGGGGTGCCAGGCACCGGCTGGTTTACTGCATCCGCTCATTGTAGTAGCGATGACACTCCGGGTCCCCACGGACTGTAGGGGATCCCTGAAGCAGCTTCCCGGTGTTGGGGTTCACGCACCAGCACTCCCCACGCTGCCCATTCACAGCCATCTTGCACTGAAGAGAGAGAAGGGGCCATGGAGAACACCCTGCAGCTGCCAGCTTTCATTATGTCGCTCAAGCCTGTGCTCTGAGCGGGCTGCAGCGTGGTGCGTCTCCGCTTCACTGTGCGCCAGGGGACTTGCTAAAATGCAGCTTCCTGTTCAGGGGGGCAGGGATGAGCCTCACGTTGGGCGCAGCTAACCCTAAAGCTGCTGGCCCTGGCACTGCACTGGATGTGCAAGGCTGCTGGGGACACTCAGTGGTGAAAGGACTCAGCCCCAAGCGGCAGGGAGGCCCCTCCTTGGGGGTCCAGTATGGAGTTTAATCAGAGTATGAGATGAAAATGCTCGTAACAGCGGTTCTCAACCTGTGGGTCGCGACCCCTGAAAATACATCCTGCATATCAGATAGTTACATTACGATCCATAACAGTAGCAAAATTACAGTTATGAAGTAGCAATGAAAATAATTTTATGGTTGGGGGTCACCACAACATGAGGAACTGTATTAAAGGGTCGCAGCATTAGGAAGGTTGAGAACCACTGAATGGTCAAAGGCAACACTAGCACAGGTGTTCCCAGGCGCCAGGTACAATGTCAGGAATCTATATGCTGCTCGTTACAATTTATATCTAACACGTATATTCATGTAATTCTCACAGCCACTATGTGAATGCTCTTTATGTCACCACTTTATAGATCAGTGGTTCTCAACCTTCTGGCCCTTTAAATACAGTTCCTCATGTTGTGACCCAACCATAAAATTATTTTCGCTGCTACTTCATAACTGTAATGTTGCTACTGTTATGAATCGTAATGTAAATACCTGATATGCAGGATGGTCTTAGGCGACCCCTGTGAAAGCGTAGTTCGACCACCAAAGGGGTCGCGACCCACAGGTTGAGAACCGCTGTTATAGATGATGATACAGGGGCACAGGCGGGTAAGGAACTTGCCCATCATCACACAGCTAGTAAGAGCCATCACTGACATACCCACCCTAACATTCTCCCTGGGGTCCCTGCTCTAGCCATAAACAAATGACTCTTACAAACTCTTTTAGTTACCCACACTGCCTGTGTGTTTGTTTGCTTAGAAGAGATCACTATTTCTTCTTGAGCTCCCCATGAGGTGGCTGGCTTACATTCAGAGGGCACCTGCACAAATAGCGGTAAATGCTAGACTGACACTGAAAGGGGCAAGGAGCCTGCCCTGTCAAGGAGGTGGGGAAGTGAGACACCCTCACTCAGGATCAGCAGAACCCCACACCCCATCTCCTGGCTCTGAACATCCACCTCTCCCTCAGTCCTGACTGTCCACTAGGATCACCAGGGGACCTTTGAAAATCCCAGTGCCCAGCAACTACCCAGACTCACAAAATCTGAAACTCTGGAGGTATGCCCGGGCACCAGTGTTTTTAAAGCTGCCCAGCAGGTCTGCGTGTGCGACCAGGGCTCAGAGCTGCCGCTGCTTGAAAACAGGATGTCCAGTGGAGCCCACACTCCTCACCCCTTTCTCCCAACCACACACCCCCCCATGCCTTCTCTCTGTCTGGAGTGAAAAGCACATCTATGTGCTGGTTCTCCCCATCCAGGCGATGAGTTGGAAGAGAAAAGGAGTGGACTGGAAAAAAGGCAAGTGACAAATATTGAACAGCCACTAACAGTCATCGCTATAGACTGTGTGGCTATGTGAACAACACTGACAATGTACAGGGGAAATACTGTGCACATCGGTGATCAGAAGCCACCGGAACGAAGCGGGAGGCGAGGAGAAGGTTTCCGGTGGTTTACTTACACTTCCCCAATGTTCTCTAATTCCTGGTTTTTAGAAATATTTTGAGTGGCATTTCTCCATCCTGATCCTCCATCCCTGAGATCCTTAGCAATCAGAGAGGCTACTTGGTCAGCGGTTTAAATCGACGATTCTGGAAGTGTGGTCTATGCGCCATCAGCAGGCCCTAGCACCTTGCTAGAAATGCAAGCTCTTGGTCCCCACCCAACCTTCTGAATGGCGGTCTCTGGGTGTCTGGCCTGGGAATGACCTCCAGGTAAGGAATGCTCAATGAAGGCTGAGAAGCACTGTGCAAGCCACCTCTCTTCTCCAAGAGGCTCCCTCCCAACCTGGACACCGAGCATGGCTGGCGGGTAGCTGGGTAAGTGGAATCAGCCTCTGCCAGGCTGGAGGCCAGGGAGGGAGGCCTGGCTCTGGGAGCTCGGCTCTCAGACCTCAGAGGGTTCCAGGTGTGTGGGGCAGGACCGAGGCACATCAGAGGCTTGGGGAGATCCTTTCTCACCTGTTTGAGGTTGTACAGGCCGTTCTTGTCACAGTTGGGGATGTGCAGGGAATAGAGGTGCTCCAGAGGGCCCCGCTCATCCGGAAGGCGCATGGTGGAAATACGCTCCAGGACCTGGTCCAGTTCCTGCTGGCAGGGGGTCTGTGGGTGCAGGCGGGCACAGAGGAGGCTTAGAGATGGCCCTGGGAGCGACTCCAGAAAGAAGCTCATGCGTGGGAAGGGACTTCCCCAAGGCCACACGGGTAGTTGGTGGAACGAGGGACTTCTGACCCCCGGCCCAGTGAGCTCACTACCGTATCGTGTGCCCCATCCACCCCTGAAAGAAAGTCGCATGGCTGTGAGCTTTCACTCCTCTCCTCCATCTGCATCAATGGCTCTCAGGGGTCAAGATAGAATCTACTTGCAAAGACTGAATTCAGGTGGTTGTCTCTGGATCCATCTACCCTAGCCCAGTAGGAATGGCCCAAGCTCCATTCCTTCCCATAAACCATCGGGGGCCAAGACCCAAGACGGTAGAGCTGGGCTGGAGAGAGGAGGAGGTGAAGCCGAGGGAGGGAAGCACATCGTAACACGAGTGAGCAATCTCAGGTGGCTCCATCGCCACCTCTAGCATCCACGTTCCTGCCTATGTTCCAAAGCCATGCAGAGATGTGGAGATTTCAAGAAACCATAGGCCCCGTCCATTTCACAGCCAAAGACACTAAGGCCCCTCAAAAGAGATGCTGATCTGCTGTTTGCCCTCAAAGTCACTGAATGTGTTAAGGGAAGAACAGGAAAGTCCTGTTTGCCTGCTGACAACACAGAACACAGATCTTATTGGGGTGCCCTCCCCACTGTGAGACTCCCTCTACATGTCCTCCCACCCCTCCAACTAGACCCGACCCCCTCTGACCCTGGGAGATGGAGGCCGGAGCTTCTTGGAGTCCTCCGGGCCGGGTGGGTGCTTGCCAGCCTTGCCCATTTGGCGATGCTGGTCGTTGGCCTTCTCCCGCAGCACAGCCATCTCCTTCATGCCTGAGGTGAAGGCCTTCCGGCCGGCGCTGCCTCCACCTCCCACGATGGTTCCGTCCTCAACCTCAGGGTGGTCATCATCTGCAGAGAAGCAAGGAAGTTCCAGAGAGGTGGGCCCTCCAGGGACTGTCGGGAGCCCTGACAATAAGGGAGATGAAGAGAACTAACAGCTAAGCAATTGTGCTGAATGACTTCATGGATGATCAATTTCCGCTTCACAGCAACTCTTAGGTGGGCCCTATGAGCACCTCCCTTAAACGCCTGCTCTGTTCTGCCTCCATCCTGGGAGGTGGAGCACAGAAGGAGGACTGTGTCTTCAAGGCCCTCACCATGGAAGGGGTTTGAGTCCCTCATTCTCCGGTAGAAAGACCTCCCAGAGTCACCTGTCACTAACCCATAAGGGAATTCATCATTTGTGGTCTGAAAGGGCATGGATTGGGTGAAATTTTAAAACATGGAGGTAGAACCATCACTACCAGAACTTACATTTTTCAACACCCCCTGCTGTGACTCTTCCTTTGCCTGTTTGCCCCTCCTGTTGGTCCCCTGAGGCTGCTACAGTCGTACCCCAGTACCCTGATTTGTTCCCCATTACACCAGGAGCCCCAAGAACAGGAATGACGACCTGCTCAACTTTGACGTTTCACCTTATCGCATCCTGACATCTGTCCAAGGAACATCCATTAAGTCTCTTTCAACTTTCTTAAACTGCCCATCAGTCAACAACAGAGAAAAGCTCCTATTGTGTGCCCAGCTCCGGTGCTCGAACCACTGCCGGGGCCAAAGATGCATCCCTCGGACAAGTCCTAGGGGTCAGCGCTCAGGACAAGCCCAGGCCCTCCGTGAGCCTGGAAACAAGTTTGATGAAGAGAGGCACCTGGATGAGTGTGTGTGCTGCAGTCTCTAGGCAGGGCTGGCTCATTCATTAGGCACAGCAGGCACAGTGCCCAGAGGTCTAGCGAGTGTTTCGATATCTTTTAAAATCAGAAGGAAAAATAAGCTTTTAGTTCCAAGAAAATGTCCTCATATCAACATTGACACGTTTGTAGCCATAAGACAGTTATAAAATGATTTTAGAGTATTTCTTATGGAGGAAGGGGCCCCCAAAGGCAAAAATGTCTCAGGCCCACAAAAGTCAGTAAGGAAGCTCGGATCCAGGTACAGAAGACGGGGTCTCTCGGACAGGCTTCTCCCCGGAGGAGCTGTCCCAAGATGCCCCCACCTCTCTGAGGTGAAGATCAGCTTGTCCACCCGCACAGAGGCCACCTGGATTCAAAGGCATGTTTCCTCCCATTCCTGTATTGATCTCACCCCTGCCAACGAACATGCCAATCAGATGAGGGCATCCATGGGCCTGGTTTGCTGCCGCCCATGCTGACACTCCACATTTGAAATAAAGCCCTGGGAAGGGGAATAAACTAACTGACTAGGCGGAGACCAGAACGCACTGTGGACTGGGAAAGCCTCATTCCTTGACTGTTGCTATCCCCAGCCAAAGAGGTTCAAGAATTCAGACTTCCAACTCTAATCGCCTGAGTCCCTGTGGCACCACTTAGCTGTGCAGCCCCAGGTAAGTTGCTTAAGCTCTCTGTGCCTCTGTCGCTCATCAGTAAAATGCAGACAAACAGCAGCCATCTCCAGTGGGTGGCCAGGAGGCTTCCGAGATGCTGCGTGCGTTTACAGTGCACTGAGGCTCGCTCTGAGCTGCTTCCATCCCCCCTCCCTGCCACCCTGAGGGAGGGAGTGCCCACACCGCCTCCCACACTCGGGCAGACAAGGCCGTTACCGCACATCACCAAGTTCTTCCCATGCACTCGCACGGGTGACTGAAGCCATCCTCAGGAAAACATTCCAGATGCAGAACTCCAGCTAGAGATGGAATTTGCTCAACACAAAAACATCAAGTTGCATTTTTTTCTGCCTAAGAGAGTTAGGGTCAGAATAATATTTATTAAGTAACCACTTATGTATGCAGCCCCGTGGGCTACAGTGCAAAGGTTACTCCAAAAAAAAGTTCTTAGTGAGCCAAGTCACATAGCTGGAAAAGGCTTTGGGCTTGGAGATGACATAGAAGGACCCCACCCAAGGCCCGTGCAGAGGTTGTCCCCAGGGGATTAGTAAGCATTGGCTGTTCTCTACACAGATTCCCAGGAAATAGGTCAACACTGATTATATACGGAAGGTCAAGCTTTTCCAGAGAGAAGTGGGGGAGACACAGAGGCAGAGCAGAGAGCCCCAGTCTCATCTGGGGAGGGCTGTCAGAGCCTGGAGAAGTCCCATCCTGCTTCAGGTGTGTGGCCACACCTTCCCACCTTAGGCGCCTAGAGGACAGCTGGAGATGAGAAAGGCTGGTGGAATAGGTAGAGATGGACAAGTTGTCCCCATTTTACAGATAGCACACCCAGGACTACCATCTGAGTCTATAGGGGCATGCTCAACCTCTCTGCCCTCATCAGAGGGGCTTCACTATGGGCAGGGGTCCACACACTATCCCCTGCCCCAGCCTCACTAAGCCAGCCAAGGAGGGAGAGCTGGGAGCTGAAGCTCCAGGAGAAAGAGCTTTGAAGACTTCATACCCTGGTTTTATAGCGCTGACAGCCTTACTCAATGAATGAGAACCTGTGTCCAGCAGATCCTTGCACTCAGGAAACCTCATTTTCTCCTAGTGTGACGCTCTGACCTCAGCGCTCCATTGGACAGTGGGAAACTCCAGATCTATGGGAGACCTTAGGATCTACAACCAACCCCTAGTCCCTCCTGCTTCAAGTGTGAGGAGTGGTGAGAAAAGGAGACCTTTTTCCAGAACCATCACACATCTTCACAACTCTCCTCCTTTCTTGTCTTTCTTCTGAAAAAACCTACTCATCTCCCAACTTTCTCCTTAGACCATCTCATGGTTATGTGAACATCTGAGAGCAGGTGATACCATAGAGATGATCTAATGCAGCCATGAATCTGCTGTTCCCTCCAATGGGTTTACCTCCTTCAACAGGTCATAGCCCTTCACCAGTGGATTCCGGCTAACAGGCCAAGAGGATGCTGGCTGCCTTCCCGGTTCCATCCTTCTTTGATTTCTCCCAAAAAGCACTTAACCTTAATGTATGTTGGGCAAATGAATAAATACTGTAATCTCCTTCCCTCCTGGAAAACTTCTCTATTAACATCCATGGCAGTGGATAATTCATTAATAAGCCCAACTGGACAAAGAACTCTGGGAGTCAAGAGCCCTGAATTCCTTCCAGTCCTAGATTTGCCACTTAGGACCCAACCATCATTTTGGCCAGGCTCTGTAACTTTCCTGAGCTCTAACTTCTCACGTCTGAAAAATGGTTCCGAACTCAAAGCCTTGGCCAATGGGTCTAGTATGGTAGGAAGAACGGTGCTGGCTGTGTTTGTGATGTTACCTAGCCTGGACTCTGAGTGATGCCAGCAAGGAATTTAAGATGTGTGGGCTTCAGTGTGCTCATCTACAAATTCAGGGAGCTTGATGAGCTGACTGGTTCCCAAACATAGCTGTTCATCAGAAATCCACTGAAGAGCTATCTAAAAATGGCATCCTAGACTCCAGCCTCAGAATTTCAGACAGCAGCCTAGACCAAGATCAAACTCTGGCTTTGCAGGGCCCCATTCCTCTGTGATTCTCTCTCCTGCCTCCATTTCCTGAAGAACTGCTTGGCGATGGGAGAAAGATGCCTCTTCTTTTCCAGAGACATGGCTTCACAAACACACTTTGCAAAGACACAGTCAAGTAAGCTCGTTCCTCTCACCCGCAGGTTCATAAACAGGCACACGTGTGTGCTTGGATGCACGCAGAGGAGCCCTTCTTGGCCAGGCATCGTGGGAATTCCTGGAGCATGCCCTCACAGCGCCGTCTCCTGAGTGAGCAGAAATAGCGCAGCCTCTGCAGAGCCTCCCTGCCTATGCACTCCCCCAGGGCTGCTTTATAAACACCAGGGTCATTCCTGGAATCACAAAGACCCGGGGAGGGTCAGGGCGAAGACAGACAGTTTGAGAAAACAAAAACAAGCTCAAATTCAGCCAAGGTCCTCCAGGACTCTGCGAGCCAGGCTGTCCTGGAAGAGCCAGAGAAATTGATATCAAGATGGCAAACAGCACTATCAGCTTACTCCTTCCCATGGTTCCCAAACACTGCTCCTCTGGTTCAAATAAAGCCACCCAAGAACCTGGCAAGGTGACCTACCTGCTGAAGGCCCAAGTGAGGATAGAGTGTGCTTTGGTGCAAACCTGGATCGGAGGCTACGGGAGCAGGGAGAATGTGCCTGACCCAGCAATTCTGCTCCTCTGAACATGTGTGCAAGGGCACATGCACAACAATGTTCATTAGAGCAAACTACTAGCAACTGGACCCAAAAGTCTTTCAATAGGTGGATGCCGAAGGGCCAGCCATGCCCAGTAGAAGGGAGACACCTGTTCTGGTTCCTTGAGGACAAAAGAGGAAACAGCTTAAACTGAAACAGAAGAGATCCAGGTTAGAAGCCATCCAAGAGTTTCATGGGAAAGAATTAAAACAAGTGACAATTTGCGCATTCTTCCTCTGGTTCAGTTTAGGAGGAACATTTGGAGGAAGAAGGAAGATGGACAATAGGAACTCCAAGTGTCTGAAGGCCCTTGACTGAGTTGAGGAGGGGCCTCCCTGGGCCAAGCACTCTTGTATTCGGACCCAACTCCCTTCCCAGCTCCCTAGCCTGAGTGCACTGGCAAAAAGCCGTGGGTCCATGCTTTTCCTTCCTCCTCCAAAGAACAGAAACTTCTTGAAGACACAAACTTGGACTTAACTTCCAGAGATCGAGAGAGAGAGAATGAGAAAGAATGAGAGAGAGAGAGAGAGAGAGAGAGAGAGAGAGAGAGAGAGAGAGAGAAAGAGAGAGAGAATGAGAATGAAAAGAGTACAGGAAGGGAGCCGTTCTGTGCGCTCAATTTCCTTTTTTGGAAGGAGGCGGATGTGCTTTTCCTCTTCCCAGACTGAAGAAGCAAATGTCCATTAGATGTGCTTCTCTTACTTCTGTGACTTTATTCTCCAAAAAGGACTCTCATTTTTTCACATCAGGCTCTTCCCAAGA